GATAGTCATAAACCGATTACTGACTAGTTTTTGCCTATTCACTGGATTTTTCACCTTTTAAACAATTTGTGGTAAACCCATTTTAGCTTTTCCTTATTTTCATGAATAAATTCTAATCTCAATTGATATGAACACATTCTCAATTATTTGTTAGTAACTATCAAGGCTTACATTAGATGTTAAACTTAAAATTGGCCACCACCCACCCTTAAAGTAATTAAATTATTTAGGCAGTTCATGGGTATAGGCTTTTGTTTTTGCCCATCTCTTTTGTTGATTAGCCTATAGACGTTTAAGCGACAGTTCTCGGACTGTTGCGCGTACAAGTACGTGCGGCTTGCCCACAAACGTGTGAAGGGCTCCTCATTTTTTTTCCTCCCCTAAATTAACTATCCAGTTTGATGGATTTTTTGAGGAAAACCTAGCGTAGCTCTGTTGTATCCACAACCAGAGGGCGAAAACGCTTTTATCACGTATCACGTTATCACGTATTGTTAAAGCCCCCTCTGCTTCGTAAACAGCTAAAGAAAAGCTCAAGATGATCTTGAGAGGTTTAGTAAGTTAAAAGGTATCTAAAATAAGAAAAGCAATAAAAATGCAAAATAAATATGATAAATAAAATACTTGAGTTTGGAGTTAGGTCCTAATAACAATTCCTTCCCAATGCCCAAAATGCTTTTCATTGATAAGATTAATCCTATAATGCAGACTTTTCTATTTGATTTATAAATATAATTTCCGTTTTCAAATTTTAAGGATTTTAAGGTTGAGATACACTTTTCAAAAAAAATTTCATAGTATGATAGTGAATTTGTAGTTAGTGGGGTTTTATACCCTTTGGCAAGTATGTTACGTGTGTTTAAAAAGTCAAACATTCTAAAAAAAATATTATAAATAATATTAATAGATCTTATTACTGATCAATCATTTGAATAAAGTCAACAGTGCTCTCACAATTTTCAAATCCATCAATTTTTAGCTCCTGTGCTAAAAGAATAGCTTTTGCCACTGAGCTACTAAAAACTTGAACAGCAAGTTTAACCTTTAAAAAATATATAAGTATTGTTTTTTTTAATTGTACTTTCATTTTTTGCTTATGAGATTGATGAATTTTATTAGCAGCACTTAGTCCTTCCTTACCCTGCAAATCATGAAGATTTGTTATATATTTCCAATTTATTATCTATTTATTTATAATATTAAATATTTTAAAGTAGTTTAATTACTGATCCATTATTAATTAAAATTTTTTGGTCACCCAAAGGATTTCTTAGCAGCTTAATCATATGACATACATCCAACATTATGTATACTTTTTCATCACAATTGCTTGGGAGACTAAAATAAGGAACACAGTGATCAGGATCTAAAGATGTCCCAAGTAGTTGGCACATTTTTATATTTACTGACAGACCATCACAAACTATAGCTTTACAGATGGTGCTAGTGTCATGTAGTAAATGTAGTGCTTTAGTCACTATATTTGCAAACAAGTCTGAAGTAACAATTGATACTAAAAAGTATCCTATTGGAATTTTCCATATTCCATTAAGACATGTCGCCATGAGAAAAAGGGTTTGCCTAGCCTCAGGAAGAGAATCGGATGGCTTTATTCCATTGCCTAAATAGACATATCCATGGTACTCCTTTTTATCCCAATGGATATGATGACGAATAGACATTTCATCAAGGCTTAATATGGTGTATAATTGAAATTTTAATTCTGATTGAAAACTTTTAATTCTATTGAAGGAAGCATCAAAAAAACCTAAAATCAAATTATTTTTATTATTATTTATAAAGAAAAACCTGGCTTTATATTAATTTGCCGGCTCCAAGTTCTTAGTGTTGATTCTAAAAAGCAGAATTGATCACTTAGATATTTATAAGCCTTTGGGGAATATAAATGAACAGTTGATTAAATTGTTTCATTTCTGAGGTATATTTTATTCTCCGTGGATTTTTTACGTCTGCTGCGTAATTTCGTAGAGATTTATACTTATTATTCTTATAAATATCAGATTTACTCATATTTTAATTTTTTTTAGATTTCAAATGATTAATGGGAATATGTTAATCTCTTTTCCTATTATGAACTACATTGATAAAATTTTTATCGTAGAGATATATACTTATTATTCCTATAAATATCAGATTAACTCATATTTTAATTTTTTTAGATTTCTAATGATTAATGGGAATATGTTAATTTCTTTTCCTACTAGGAACTCCATTAATAAAATTATTATAGTAGAGATTTATACTTATTATTCCTATAAATATCAGATTTACTCATATTTTAATTTTTTTTAGATTTCAAATGATTAATGGGAATATGTTAATCTCTTTTCCTACTATGAACTCCATTGATAAAATTTTATCGTAGAGATTTATACTTATTATTCCAATAAATATCAGATTTACTCATATTTTAATTTTTATTTAGATTTCTAATGATTAATGGGAATATGTTAATCTCATTTCTTACTAGGAACTCCAATAATAAAATTTTTATCGTAGAGATTTATACTTATTATTCTTATAAATATCAGATTTACTCATATTTTAATTTTTTTTAGATTTAATGATTAATGGGAATATGATGAACTCCATTGATAAAATTTTTATCGTAGAGATTTATACTTATTATTCCTATAAATATCAGATTTACTCATATTTTAATTTTTATTTAGATTTCTAATGATTAATGGGAATATGTTAATTTCCTACTAGGCACTCCAATAATAAAATTTTTATCGTAGAGATTTATACTTATTATTCCTATAAATATCAGATTTACTCATATTTTAATTTTTTTTTAGATATCTAATGATTAATGGGAATATGTTAATCTCTTTTCCTACTAGGAACTCCATTAATAAAATTTTTATCGTAGAGATTTATACTTATTATTTCTCAGATATACTAATATTTTAATTTTTTTTAGATTTCTAATGATTAATGGGAATATGTTAATCTCTTTTCCTACTAGGAACTCCATTAATAAAATTTTTATCGTAGAGATTTATACTTATTATTCTTATAAATATCAGATTTACTCATATTTTAATTTTTTTAGATTTCTAATGATTAATTGGAAAATGTTAATCTCTTTTCCTACTAGGAACTCCATTAATAAAATTTTTATCGTAGAGATTTATACTTATTATTCCTATAAATATCAGATTTATTCATATTTTAATTTTTTTTTAGATTTCTAATGATTAATGGATAAATATCAGATTTACTCATATTTTAATTTTTTAGATTTCTAATGATTAATGGGAATATGTTAATCTCATTTCCTACTAGGAACTCCAATAATAAAATTTTTATCGTAGAGATTTATACTTATTATTCCTATAAATATCAGATTTACTCATATTTTAATTTTTATTTAGATTTCTAATGATTAATGGGAATATGTTAATCTCATTTCCTACTAGGCACTCCAATAATAAAATTTTTATCGTAGAGATTTATACTTATTATTCCTATAAATATCAGATTTACTCATATTTTAATTTTTTTTTAGATTTCTAATGCTTAATGGGAATATGTTAATTATTTTTCCTACTAGGAACTCCATTAATAAAATTTTTATCGTAGATATTTATACTAATTATTCTTATAAATATCAGATTTTCATATTTTAATTTTTTTTAGATTTCTAATGATTTATTGGAATATGTTAATCTCTTTTCCTACTAGGAACTTCATTAATAAAATATTTATCGTAGAGATTTATATTTATTATTGCTATAAATATCAGATTTACTCATATTTTAATTTTTTTTTAGATTTCTAATGATTAATGGGAATATGTTAATCTCTTTACCTACTAGGAACTCCATTGATAAATTTTTTAACGTAAAGATTTATACATATTATTCCTATAAATATCAGATTTACTCATATTTTAATTTTTTTTTTAGATTTCTAATGATTAATGGGAATATATTAATCTCTTTTCCTACTAGGAACTCCATTGATAAAATTTTTATCGATGAGATTTATACTTATTATTCTTATAAATATCAGATTTTCATATTTTAATTTTTTTTAGATTTCTAATGATTAATGGGAATATGTTAATCTCTTTTCCTACTAGGAACTCCATTAATAAATATTTTATCGTAGAGATTTATACTTATTATTCCTATAAATATTAGATTTACTCATATTTTAATTTTTATTAGATTTCTAATGATTAATGGGAATATGTTAATCAATAATATTAAAAATATATTCGTATTAAAAATTTAACTCAAATCTATATTCCGAAGAAGAAGAAAATAGCTTCCTAAAAACAAGTAAAAAAGAGAAGAAAAGATATCTAATTTATTACATCCATTGTGGGATGAATAATAATACGCTTATTTTATTTATATTGTAAATAAATAGATGGCGTTAAATATTTGTAAGCAAATTGTTACTTTTATTTATTATCAAAAGCATTTATTAGTAAAATTTTAAAAGTATTAACTGTAATATATTATATAACTGTCAGATACGTCTGTAAAAGTGGCATTTTACCTAATATTTTATAAAAAATTATATATAATAGAGGATTATAAACTATATGTCTACATACTTTTTATAAATAAATCTCTTATACCTATTTGGATTTGGACCTTGAAAATAATTTTAGGAAGAGACATGATAATTAAATTTAAAAATCAATAATATAGTTGATTAGTGATTTTGAACTCGGCTGTTATATATTTAAAATTGATAACCTTGCCTATTATTACTTTTTGTTTTTCGTTTAGAAATTAATATTTATAATCTAATTTTTATAACCTTACCTATTATTACTTTTTGTTTTTCGTTCAGAAATTTATATTTTTAATATAATTTTTGTAACCTTACTTTTTGTTTTTCGTTTTGATCATATATATTCTAATTTATATTTTTAGATAATATTTATCCAATTAAATTGCATTTTTTTTAAATATGAAATGTTATAATTTCTAATATATATGATTTATTAATAAAATATGGAAATAAAACCTGAATTAATATACAAAATTCCTAAATTAGTTGGACCACTTAATGAGATTTATTTAGACAGAATATTAAGTTATTTTTCGACCAGCACATTATCGGACTCTATTAAAATAAATACTTTGCTTAATAATTTATCAGACGAGGTCTTTAACAAAATTTGTTCCGATACCGACATACTAGATCTTAAAATTGTGACTAAAAAGTTAACTTACCTTTTACCTGTGCAAGATAAAAACATTTTAATAAATAAATTTAACTTATTACAGCAGAACTCGAGTGAGAATTTCATGCAATGGTACATAAGAGTATCGAAACTGCATAAAAAATGTAATTTTTCGGACGACAGTAGATTAAAAGAAAAATTACGTACATCTACTTTAAATGATAAAATAAAATATTAATTTTGTAAAAATATTAATTTATCTTTAAATGAGATGGTTGAGCTAGGAATTAAGTTAGACAGCATCAGCGATAAGTCAGATGTTGATAATATAAGTTATATGAATAACGATAAAAAGTCCGATAAAAATATAAACTTTTACAATAGAAACGACAACAATAATTATTTTAGACCTGATAATAATTTTAGAAATAATTTTAGAAATAATTATGTTAATAGAGATAGAGATAATTAGAATAATAATTTTAGATACAATGATAGGAATTAGGTAATAATAATAATTCGAGATACCACGATAATTATAACAGCTATAACTACAATAACTATCACTATAACAATAATAATCAATCTAATTATGGTAGAAATAATACATGGCATGAAAATAATCAAAGAGACGGAAATCGTAACAATTACCAATCTTATTACAACAATTCAAATAATAATAGAGGTAGTGACAATAATCAGAGAAAGCAAATACAATATAACAACAACTCAAATAATTATAGAGGTGGCGACAACAATAATAGAAAGCAAATACAATACAACAATGTATATAATATGAATATTGAAGAAATTATTGAAGAGAAAGTTGACTCTACAAAGAACAAAGATGATAATGATTTCAATGTTAACAACTTATCTGGTGACATGCTCAATGACAAAGATAATGCATTTATGACTACTTTAAAAGTGAACAATATTGTTACATGTATGCAAGTAGATACAGGCTCAAAACATACTATTATATCTCATGGTCTGGCTAAAAAACTTGGTATTAGATATGTTAAGAAATCCGAGCTAATGACGGAAATTTAATCAAGATCATCGGCACCACTCAAGTTAAAGTGACTTATGATGGTATCTCAAAATATTTACAAGCGGTAGTCGTCGAATCAAGTAAAAATGCCTAGTTGGGACGTACATGGATCAATGCTTTCAAAAATATTTTAAATAAATTTCTAGCAAATGTTGACACTAATTACGAAGATGAAATAAAAAAATTGATTAAAGAGTGTGAATCCAAATTGACTAATGGGCCAATCAACAAAGCCAAGTTACATTTAAGAAGAGATGCCCAACCTAAATTATACCGCCTAGACGTATTCCTTATTCAAAAATTGATCTTGTTAGCAATGAACTTAAAAAATGGATACATGATAAAATTATTGATCCGGTGAATAATGTCCGATGGGCAAGTCCTGTTACCGCTGTCTACAAAGATGATGGGAGCATTAGGCTTTGTGCTGATTTTAAGGACACTGTAAACCCAGCTCTAGAAGATTTCAGATACCCTCTACCACGAATCAATGATCTAATAGCTAAACTTTCAGAGGAAAGAAATTTACGAAGATTGACTTTAAAATGCTTTCTTACAGATTCCAATTGATAAAAGTTGCAGAAATATTTTAACCATATCTACGCACAAGGGATATTAACAATTTACTAGACTTCCTTTTGGGCTTAAGACCTCATTTGCAATTTTTCAACAGATTATGGATCAAATCTTCGGTGATATGGATGACGTCATATTTTATATTGATGATTTACTTATAACTGGAAAAAACGATGAAGCCCACCTTAACAACATAAAAAAAGTGTTTGATAGAATATCATCGTTTGGGCTAATACCTAACTTCTATAAAAGTGTGTTCTTTAAAAACAAAGTGAGGTTCCTGGGTCATGATATTGACGCTAAGGGGATTCATGCTAATCACGACAAAATTGAAGCAATAATTAATATGCCAGAACCAAAATCAGCTGCTGAATTATCAACATTTATGGGAATGGCTGGCTACTATAGAAAATTTTTGAACAATTTTGCAGAAATTGCCGATCCTCTCAACAAAGAAAAATGGGCTTGGAACCTAGAACACTCTAAAAGTTTTAATGATCTTAAGAAGTTGATTAGTCTTCTACCTACTTTGACATATTTTAACCCTGAATTACCTATTGGGATAGCCACTGACGCATCGAAATGTGGTTTAGGAGCTGTACTATTCCATACTGAAAAAGATGGTAAAGAAAAACCTATAGCTTTCGCGTCAAGAACTTTATTAAAATACGAAATGAACTATACCAATATTGAGCGTGAGGCTCTCGCCATTATGTTCGCTAAGTAGGTTCCAGGAATACTTAATCGGCACAAAATTTACAATTATTACTGACCATAAACCTCTAGTTCACATCTTTACCAAGGGTCTTAAGGATAGAATCACGTGGTCAAGTCCGGACTCCTATATATCATCCTCCCAAAGGACAGAACCATCAAGTTGGAATAATAAAAAAACATTATCATTGTTGGGATTCGAACCCAAAACCATAGGATTGGTAGCGAAGCTCTTGCCGACTAGGCCACAGACACTTTATATTAGTCACGATTTTTCAAATATAATTATAAATAAATTGGTAGTACCTATCCAGAAAAATAGACAAAATGCAAATTTGATAGGAACTACCTTGAGGCAGTATCTAACATTAATCGACTATATGGGAGTTAGATCTAGATGACATTATGAAGCTAGATAAGTAATCGATAAAATTATTGTGAGATATTCAATTTCTCAAAGATTATCTTTCATTTTTAATGATATATAAACGACTAGAGAGTTTACAATTATTACTCATCTAAATTATGCAATCAAAACTCTCAGCAAGCAGCAGGAGTAATCATCTTAAATTACATAGCCACACAAATAACAGATGCTGATTAATTGATAGTCATAGCCATGACACTCACTATGTAAACTCTTATCATAAGTTATTATATTATATAAATTGATAAAACAAGAATACTAAAAATCTTTAGAATAAATAATTATGCAAATATATTGAAGCCAGGGTTGCCAGGTCAAAATTTTCAAATGGCGGGAGAAATTTGTTATTTTGCGGGAGAAATATGAAAATTGCGGGAGAAATATGAAAATTGCGGTAGAAATAAAAAATTTGCTAAAAAAGGCCCACAAAATCCCGGCACTCCCCTTATCACATACCTCTGAGTTAAAAAAATTACTATAATAGATTAACTCCCCCTTTGATAAATAGTGTTAAGGGATTAAAAACAAAGATATTTATTACAATGTAAATTGACAGGGAGAGTTATATGATCATGCATTTTTTTTAATATTAATGAAATTCTTGTAAATTTAATTTTTCATATTAAATTTGATTTTAGAATTTAAATTTTGAATCGAATTTTAATTTTATTTATCTAATTTGTGAAATCAAACATCCTATTCAAAAAGTAACTTGTTCATGTAAAAATTAAAATATTTTATTATTTTATAAAAATATTAAATAGTGAATCTCGATGTTATCAATGATATTTATAATTACCTTAAATACAAAACCTACCCAACCTCCTATGTCGGCGATCATAGCTTAAAAAGAAACCTTAGAGTCAAATGTGCCAAGTTTTTCTTAGAGAATGACAAATATACCATCACCTACATAATGCTCAAGTTATCTCACTCTTTAGCCAACAAAAACTTTTAGTCTCATTCCATGGAGAATGTGAGACAAATCTCACAGAAATGTCATTATCAGGTCACTTTGGAATCAACAAGACATATGATAAACTAGTTGAAAGGTATATTTACACTTGTTTCTAAATTTTTATGAATATTACTGATATTTAAAATTCACTTTTGAAGTGTACAAAAGGCAATCAGAGAGATTGCCTGGAGTTCTCCCTGGTATAGTATTTGCCTACAATACATCAAGGCATGACTCAAAATTTACGCCATATGAGATGATGTATGGCAGGAAAGCCTTACTGCCCTGTGATGTATGATATATATATCACTATTAATATAAAATTATTATACATATTTATTTTTATTATTTAAGGATGATAGAGAACCAGATACAGATCTTGGTGATCTTACTGATGCAGACTATGAATGCAATTTCCAAAGAAGAGCAAACAATATGAAAGGCATATTCAAGACTGCAGAAAAAAATATTATAAAGGCTCAGTTTAAGCAGCAACGAGATTATAAAACTCGTAATGCTGCTAAGAATACACTTTATCACATAAATGATAAAGTCATAGGAGAAGCCAGGACTTTGGTGGGCCTTCTGCCCGTTTTACCCGGCCTTCGGCCGGTTTATTAATCCTATATATATTTAAAAAATTTTTTAACAAATAATAAGCCCGGAAGAAATATGAAATATATTTTTATTAGTTTATTGTTAATATAGATAGATCACACAAAAATGTGGTATTCATTTATGTTATGTCATCAGATAGATCATACAAAAACGTGGTAATCATTTATAATGTTATATCTAATTTTCTTTTAGAATTTGATAATTCATTGATTATTTCAGTATTATCTGGTGTTAATTCCCGATGAATATTTAATAGCGCTAAACCATTTAATCTATTTTGCGAGGTAGTATTTCGTAAGTATGTTTTTAGTCTTCTTAAATTAGAGAAAGTTCTTTCATTTGTACATGTCGTAATTGGGAGGCATTCTAATTCGGTCGCTACCATATCTTGCAAATAAAAATTATATAACTACTGAATTTTATTTCTAATGTCATCCGAAATGTTCACAGATGGATTAGAGGATAACGAAATTTGAAAGTTACTTAGCAAAAGTTTATGGTTTAATAAACGTTCTTTAATCTGAGTTAAAAAAGTGTCCATAAGTGGTATAAAAATAATAATTTTGTAATACTCCTCAACTGATTGTAAGGAAATATTATTCCTATGTACTTGCCTTGATACTATTCTTGGCATGCTTATTATCATATTATAAGATTGCACTTTTTTTTGAAATTTGTTAAAAATCGTTCTAAATTCACAATCAGCATTTTTTCTTATCTGTAAAATAGCATATATGCATCTTCAGCTAAGATCAATGCTTGAACCATATCTTGGTTCACTCTTTGCAAGGCTCTGCATAATAATATTGTTTGGCAGAAGAGAGTTTTAATGCAATTAATGGCCAATAAAAACTCAGGATCTTGAATCGCTTTCACCACTGATGTATCTGTCCATCCACATATTTCCTCCATTGCAACAATTATCGGGTCACCTAATTCAAGAAAAACTGCAACCGATTCATGTCGTAGGATCCATCTTGTAAGGCACATTTCACAAGTTTATGATGATTATTGCCAAATTCTTCCTTTGCCAGAATATTTTTGAGGACATTAGATCTTTTTGGATACTTGAACATATCATATACCTTGCCTATTGTGCCTTTTTAAATATATGATTATAATTAAAATAAAAGTTTAATAAACCCATGGTACTACGAATAACGGGAATTGAGCAACAATCAGAAATGGCTAGATTTCGGGAATGCGATGCACAATGTACATAAATTGCAGTAGGATATTTTTTTATTAAATGTGATTGTGAACACCATTTAAATGTCCACTCATAGCAGGGGCACCATCAAATCCTTGTCCCCGCATAAAATTAACATTAATTTTAAATTTTTTAAGATGAATCAATTGTGTTAGCAAGACATTCACCTCTCATATCTTGAATCGGAATAAATTGCAAAATGTCTTCTTTTATTTGAACTTCATATATATAAAATAAATATAAATTTTACAATTTTCAGAATATAAATATCGAGCACACAAGAACATTTGCTCTATGCCAGATATATCAGTTGATTCATCTGCCAAAACAAGAATGGAGACTTGTTAATGTTGGCAACTACCTTTCTTAATATTAAATCATTACACACATCAATGATTTCGTTTTGAATGGTGGGGCTTAAATACGTAGCATTTTTCGGTGCATTTAACAAGTTAATCCTGAGCTCATCATCTCCAATTGCTCGGTTTCTGAGAATAGCTCTAAAGTTCCCATCATTTTCATTTGTATCATCTTTAAATATACAACCTGAATCTCGATGACCTCTTAATGCCATACATTGATTTCCACATGTAATTATTGCATATATTATAGGAGATATTTTTCGCCTATTTTCATTTGCTATTTTCTTTTTACCTTGATCTTTATAAAAAATAAATAATTCTCTTATAATAATTTTTAATGGTTTACCTATTATATGAATGATAGAATCTCTATCATTAGCATTAATTGCTGTAAGAGATGATATAATATTTTGTGTATTTTTATGGTATAAATTATTTTGATGATTTTCAAAATTCTCTACTGCATCTTTCCAACGTCTATATGGGCAATTCACAAGTCGCTTTAATTTTTGTTCACCTTTACCAGCATACTTTGGTCCAAATAGAACACAATATTTACAATAAGCCCCATTTTGTGAAGGTGAATAAGCCAACCAAGGCCAAGTGGTAAACCAATTAAATTAAAATTTTCTTCTAGAAAGATCTCTTGAAAAAATTATTGGGTGGCCTATATATACTCTCTAATATATTAAAGTCTTTGGGGAC